GTAAGTTATCCGGTTCAAAAATACAGGAATGGAACTTCGGTTAAGTTTAGTGCTTAAGTTTCCTATTAAAGGGGTGATAGTTAAGAGAAATGACTTTCTTCTCCCCCTCAAAAATTCCAGAGTAACCACTGAATAAATATCTTAGTATAATTTTGATGCCAAACGTTTTTAGAATGGCATGTATTTCTTTGCAGTAACATTAAATATGATCCATTATGTTTTTCTTCTAACCAATAAAAAGTGGATTAGAGAATAAAACCATTTGAGCTAACGTTTGTCTAAACTTGATCAGGGGCTGCTATATTTCAAGTACATAAATGGACTACTCCAAAAGGTAATGTACGCCAAATGATCATTTTGTGCTGCCTTCAAGATAATCACTAAGTTCAGCTGACAGGCACACAGAGACATGCATTTTTTTTCCTTTGAGGACTTCTGTCGATGCACGTAACTAACTTTTGGAGTTTCCTATAGTGAGTTCCCAGAAATGGTATTAAACTTTTTATGCCTAAGGAAAGCAGTTTCAGAGAACCTGTTCATAATCCTCATATTCTTTTGGACCTTTATTATTTTCCTTCTCTAATACATTATGTGGGCCCATCTAACAGGAGTAGAGGGAATGGGGTCATTCACAACTTCATGTACAAACTTTGTTGGAACACATCTAAGGTGAGGAAACTAGCTGATCTCCCTGAAGATCAGCTTGTTAATTATTTGGGACTTCAACAGTTTTTATATATTGTGGTTCATTACAATGAATTATGCTCCTGTGAACATTTTGTTGGGGCAATACAGATAACTTGTAGTTTGTTTTCCAAAAAGGTTTTAGGAGGCAGTTGTGCCAGAGTAATTAATGCGTTCTTCAAGATATGTGGCAGGAAATGTTCAGTATTTATATCAGGAATCTGAGCCTTTCACATATTGTTGTATTGTGATTCCTAATCAGTATTGCCACTGATGAGAGAAATGTTCATTCATACACATTTGCAATGCCATTCCTGGTTTTGTTTGAAACCACAAAGAAAACTCAGTCAGAACTTTGGGGTGCTGTGTTGTTAGTGGCAGTGTTGGCTGTAGGTTGGTTAGATTCTGCCATTTACAGGATCCATCATGAGTTGGACCAGTAAATATTGGGACTCTGTTGTTCAAATGTATTATAAGAACAACTGTTTTATGAGAACGTTCTGTACCCACTTCAGTTTTGGTCAAAAAACATCTGTACCAGATCAGAAATCTAGTTTGCTATGGATTTCTAATCTTTGGACAACTAGATCCACAGTGAAAAGAAAAATCCCTGGCAAACTTAAGTCCGTTAGAATGCCAGAAAATGTGGAAGCAGTAAGAGAAACGACTCAGCTATCACTAAGGCATTCCGCTCATAAGCATGCCATGGAGATAGGAAGTCGGAGTTTGAGGAGGATTCTGCATGTCTGTTTAAAACTGCATCCTTACAAAATGATTTGTCTGATACGATTTTTAAAACCTATTAAAACAAAATTGTTTTATGTACTTTTCAGAAATATATACAATTTTTTCTAGATAACGTGGTTCGTTTTTTATACTCCTTCAAAATGTGGGAGATCTTTATGCCCAACCCTCTACATAAAGGTTGGCATGTTCTTCCAAGTTCAAGTACCGAATAACAGCTGTTTTCTCATTCACCAAACTGGTATTTAGTGGCAGCATTTTAAATACAGAGATTGCTCCATGTCTATCCAGATTATCTTGAATGGAAGGCAGTTCGAAGATGTCAAATACCCTATTGGGAAATCTACCCCCAGGATAGTGGAACTGTCTCCTATTCCCGTATATCCCACACTTTTAATTGTGTGTTGTCTTATTGTTAATTGTTGCATATTTTATTGTCTATGTTTTTATTTTTAATTGCTTGTATTGTTGTTATTATTGCTTGTATTGTTGTATTGGGCTCGACCTCATGTAAGCCGCACCGAGTCCCTTGGGGAGATGGTAGCGGGGTACAAATAAAGTGTTGTTGTTGTTGTTGTTGTTGTTGTTATTATTATTATCCCCCTACTCTGTATTACTTGAAAGGCTATGTCCTGAACACCTTTGCCTCCCTCCCTTTGTTGAAAGCGCATCTCATCTCCCTGCAAACATTGAAATCTGTTTATTTCTACATGGTAATGCCTGTTAGCAGATTGCCTTTTTCTTTCTTGCAAAGCAGCAGCAGGACAAACCCTTCTTTTTGTGACACCCCCCAAAACAGCACCCTCAAAGAGACAAAACCATTTTGGTCTTCATCCCTTTGGTGGCAATTCCCTCCTCTCCAGTTGTGAATATGCCTCCGCAATAATCCTACTTACATTTCCAAGTCCAGAGAACTAACTTACTCAACTAGGGAACCTGCCGGATATTAATGGCTGGGCAAAAAAGGCTGTGATGCTTTCATAAGACCTAGAGGGAAGGAGGAGATGACAGAGGGTTTGTGCAGTTTCTGGAAAGCTCCCAGATGGATTCTAGGTCCTCTTCTCTCTCTGCAGGGGTGCTGTTGAAACTATGTTTTAATAGGATGTAGTATACACTGGAGATAACATTTTCTGCTATGGCCTTTTCAAAATTCCATTGTTCGTTATGCTGAGGGCAGCCTTTAAGCAATACTTTAGAGTTGCAGTTCATGAAACTTTGAAAGCAAGTACTAGTATTGACAAGAGCAGTAAAGCATGATTAGAAATCTTTCTCTAAAAGTGGTGATAAAAATCTGCAAGTCACACCAGTGTGCTTTTTCTGCTTTGTTGTCTTTGGCAGCATCTTAAACAACTGGCTGAGGAAGGAAGTAAAGGGGTCTGAGGAACTCTGCCAATCATTAGCAAGGGTCAGGGCCATGGAGGATCCACAAAATAGTGGTTTAGACCACCCCAGTGACTCCCTGTGGGTGGGCAGAATTTGTGTATGTGTGTGTAAAGTACAGTAAATGAATTCTATAGACTTTTGTAGTGACATATTAGTGGCTGTTTACTCTTGTGTCTTGTAAAATCAATGCATTAAATTGTAGCTTCTAGATCTATTTGTTTTATAGATGCTTTAATTTTGAAAAATCAATTGAAGAGATTTTCCAAGTTTGAGATTCGAGTGGGGGGAGGGAACATGATTACCTGGCTATATATTATGTTTTTCAGTTTATTATATCTAATTGTTAAATGTGATCAGAAGACGGATGAAGTGTGAACCCATATGTCAAGCCTAAATATAATATCTCTGGACTGTGTAAAGGCTTGTAACATGAACCCTTTATCCTCTTCTCAATGGGAGGCCTTGTCTGTTTTAAGAAATTGGAGGATTGATTGGAGTCATTTAGTCTTTTAGGACCCTATATGAAATTAATGTTTCTGCACTAATTTGTATTTATAGTGTGACATGGCAGTATGGCTGGAATATAAATTATATGAGTAGCAAATTCCTTCTGGTTAATCATCATGTGATCTAAAATGAGTCCTGTGGTACCTGGTGGGCAGAGACCTAATTCAAGTAGACACATAGATGTTTTGCCTTGTAAATCATAGCAGCGGTCCTATCTTTTAGTCCCTCTGGCTCTAGGACCCTGGTTCCCAATGTGGGACACATGCCCCACAGAGGGACAATTTGATTTTTTAGGGGAGCAATTCAAGAATGAGTTATTAATTGAGGTTTTTTTTGCATCTCTTATGGTTATAGGGGCCTCATATACATATATAAATATATATTGTGACATACACATTTAAAAAATTAAAATCAGATTGTACATGGTGGCTAGATGGTGACAATGGAGAGGAGGAAACCTAGCTAATAGAGGGGTAGAGAGAGCACAGAGTTCACTAGAGAGTGCATGAGCATAGAAAAGTGAGGCAACTTGTCAAGACCCAGACCAGTCAGCAACACAAACGGCACTGTAGGAGTTAAAGTAAAGTCTCAACACAACTTGTATTCCAAACAACCACACTCCTCTCAGTGTTCTTTTAACATTACAAACTATACAAGATATATAAAAATGTCTTTTTGTTCTGCATATGAATGTAGCAAGAAATCTGAAACAATCTAAAGTAAAATTGTTACTTTCATATTTTTGAATGAAAAAAAATGAAAAAAATATTATTAGCCACAAGAAAATTAACATGAGGATATTCTCGCATATTCTCACCAAAGACACACAATGAAGTTGGACACTTAAGTTACCCTGAATTTGATACATAAATCTATTGTGTCTCGAATATTACTACTCCCGATGTGACAGTTGTTCTATTTTATTACTTAATTTTATCAAGCATGAAGGGTTTTTATTAGCAAAAACCTATATTCATCAGGTTTGAGCATAGAAATCTCACATTTTCCATTCAGATGTATTTTTCTTGATATTTTACTGCTACTTAAAATACCTGCATTATTTTTTTTAGAGAAAATACCCTTTTGATCAGCATAGAAAGAATATGCATTGGCACATCATTAACTATCAACAAATGACATTGACTGAGATATATGGGTTGCTTACCTGTAAACATAGTTTCCCTAGTGGTCACCTGCAAATTTACACATATATGGTAATATCCGGCGCTCGCGCCGGCAGCAACGGAAAGTTCACGAGGCTAAAAATCAGTTGGAGCAGCCCCTCCCGCCCCTCTCCCCTCTATAAATAGCCCTCCTGAGGGGCTGCGGCCAGTTCTTCCGTCGCTAAAAATCGCACACAGAAGAGCTGGGGCATGACAAGCAATTAGGAGGGGAGGAAGGGCGGGTTGTGTAAATTTGCAGGTGACCACTAGGGAAACTATGTTTACAGGTAAGCAACCCATATTTTCCCTGCGTGGTCACTGCAATTTACACATATATGGTAGACTAGCGAGCTGCTAACCTGTAACCCGGACGGAGGGTGTCATGCCACAGCCGAGAAAAGCACCGCTCTACCAAAAGCTGCATCCGCCCTCGAGTGCACATCCAGCTTGTAATGTTTCACGAAAGTCGTTGGTCTGGACCAAGTTGCTGCTCTACAGATAGTTTCAAGCGGAACGCCT